TTGGGGATCCTTGGGAAGGTTTTCTTTCACGCCCACCCCATCAGCAGCCTGACCCCCTCCCTCCCTTAGCAGACTGGTCCAGCCAGCGGCTGGCTGGACGGGCTGCTGAGGGTGTTTCTCAGACCCCCCCCTAAGGATCCTTCGGTGTGTGTGTCTGTGTGTGTGTGTGCGCGTGCGCGTGCGCGTGCGCGTGCGTGCGTGCGTGCGTGCGTGCGTGCGTGCGTGCGTGCGTGCGTGCGTGCGTGCGTGCACGCGCGCGTGCGTGCGCGCGCGTGCGTGCGTGCGTGCGTGCGTGCGTGCACGCGCGCGCGCGCGCGCGTGTGTGTGTGTGTGTGTGTGTGTGCGTGTGTGTGTGTGTGTGTGTGTGTGTGTCTGTGTCTGTGTCTGTGTCTGTGTCTGTGTCTGTGTCTGTGTCTGTGTCTGTGTCTGTGTGTGTTCGCCCCCCCTCATAAGCCTGATCTAGGCAGCCAGGCCGACCAAGGATCCTAAGGGGGGGTGTTTAGAAACACCCTCGGCAGCCCAAAACACCATTACACCATTACACAATTACACCGCGATCCTTCGGGGAGACCAACACACACATACCCTCAGCAGTTTGGTCTAGCCGGCGGCAGGCTGGACGGGCTGCTGAGGATGTTTCTGAAAGCCCCCGCCCCAAGGATCCTTAGGGTGGGGGGCGCGCATCCCGGACGCGGCAGCGAGGTCCCAAGCGGCCGCCCCTCCGTCGTGCCAGCGAGGCCTGCAGGCAGAGGCTGGGGGAAGCAAGCGGTTCCCCCAAAGAAGACAAAACACCATAAACGTAAACTGTGGGCGCTCCGCACGGATTTTGTTTTGGATCTGCGCTGGACCGCCCTCCCTGGCGCGCGGAGCGCGCCAGGGGCGGCGCCAGAGGCGCCGCTGGGGGGGCCCAGCGCGGGTCCAAGAAATCCGCGCGGAACGCCAACTAATTATGTCTATGGCGTTTTTTCTTCTTCGAGGTACCGATACCGCTACTCCCTGGACCTCTCCCTGGGAACGTTCTGACCTGGGTTTCGAGGCGAATCCAGCGGTGGCGGCGAGGGCTTCCCAGGATAGGCGGCGAGCCAGGGGGGGGGGGAAACAAGAAGGGGCGGGCCTCGCCCCGCGGACTCGTGAGAAGCTTCCTGCGCCTCCCCCGAAGCCAGAGAAAACCTCCCAGGAGGCGCGAAGGCTTCGGAGAAGCCCCGCCGCCTTCTGCGAAGGCCCCCTCCCCCGCCGCCGACGGGAGGCCCCAACCCATAACGGGGGAGAACGGGCGGAGGGCAACGGTGTGGGTGCCCGTTCCTCCTCCGAGGGCTAGGCCGCGCGGTGGCCAGCCCCGTCCAGCCGCCGGAGCCCGCCTCTGCTCCTCGTCGTCGTCCTCCTCCTCCTCCTCCTCCTCCTCCTCCTCCTCCAGCTGAATGGGAGGAGGAATGGGGGAGGGCAACCAGATGAAGGCGCTATAGGTAAGGGTGCGAGTCGGACCCCGAAGGAGGCTCCCGTTCGAGCGGACACTCCCATCCGACAACACACACACACACGCACACTTGTTGCCACCCCCCAAGACCACCCCGCCAGAATTCCACCCCGAGAAACCTGGGGGCTGCATAGGTATGGGTGCTAGTTTTAGGTCGGGCATGTCCTCCTACGGGCGGATTTTGGGCGAAAGCTTAAAGAGACCACAACAACACTCAACCGTAGTCAAGAAATAATCCAAACATCGCCCCCGTACTACTCTTTGGCTACTCCGGAAGATTCCTCCCGTAGAGGGACCGGCCCGACGTGAGACAGGGAGGGGCCCGTCGCGGGCCGCGCGCGGCGGGAGGAGCCCCGGGCGCTCGCTTCTGCAGCCTGGCCCCAGCGAGGCCAGCCGCCCGGGCGCCGCGGGAGCACCGCTGATGCGGCGTCGGTCCGCTTCGTGGAGTCCTCGCGGCGGGGAGCGGTCTCCGAAGTGGCCGCGCGCGGAGCAGGACCGCCGCGTGTCGGCACGGGTGCGCCCCTGCAGGCGTCGTTGCTGCGGCGCCGCCTGCAGGAGCCCGGGCGAGAGGGCGCTGCCCGTGCGCGGGGGAGGGGAGGAGAGGGGGTCAGGGGCAAGCCAGGTGCGCACGCGTCCGATCAGACGTCCTACCCCTCCCTCCCATCCCTGACCATGGCGTAGATCTCCTCTCTACATTCGCGCAGTCGGACGTCGTAGCATGGCATAGCACTGCATGGCATAACACGTCGTTGAAGAGCAACGCGTAAGGGGAAACGAGGGAGGAGGGGGGGGGCAAACGAAGGAAGGACCCATGGGTTCATGCGAGAAGTGGCGGGTGCTGGGGGCGGACCTGCCACCCCGAGCCCCCTATCAGGGCAGCGGAGAAGGTCAGGTACCCAGCTTGGGCGTCCACCAAGGTCCACGCTTCCTCCTCCTTCTCCTGCTCCCCCGTCCGCCTCCTTGTTCATCCTTCCTCCCTTCTTCTCGTTCATCTTCCTCATCTCCTCCCCTTTTCTCCCTCCTCTCCAACTCGTCCTCATTCCCAGCTGAAGCCAGTGTCCTCGTCGTCCCACGGCAGCTGTGTACGGTCCCGCCAGACCATGAACGGCGCCGAGTCCTCGGCACTCTGGCCCCGTTGCTGCTTGGAGGAGGATCCCCAGCGGGGGATACAGGAAGATGGATCCCAGGACTTCCGAGCGAGAGGTCCCAGGGGGGGTACGCACACAGGAGGGCATCAGGAGGAAATCCCAGGAAAAGCTCCCTGGAGGTACATCGCTGAGGAGGAGAGGGCCAGGAGGGGGTTCCAAGGAACGGGGGGGGGGGATCCTGGAGGAGCGATCCCCAAGGGGTGATCCAGGAAGGAAGGAATACGTATGGATTGCCAGGGTGGGGACGAGAAGGATGAGGAGGACCATGTCACCTGTGGTGATTGTTCAACCGACCGACCATGTCACCTGCGGTCCAGGGATGAATATCCGAACGACCGACCAAGGAGAAACAACCGACCGCCCGACAAACCCAAGTCGACTTGCCCCCCAAATCAGATCCACACATACCTGCGCGCACACTAAATGTGAATTCGACCGTGCGACGAGCGCAACATGGGAATGCGGGAATACCTCGCGGGCCTGCCACCGACTCCGCCCTTGGACGGATGGGGCGGTAGCCAACGAGGCAACACTGGGAACATAACACCGCTCGTGGCCAAGACCAACTTGGTCAGCATGTCGGTGCATACGCCCTGCCCGCTCGGCCAGGGAGGCACGTGCCCGGGTCCCGGGCCCAAGATGGGCTCGGCCAGGGTCGGCCCATGTGCATGGCTCTCTTCGCCCGCTCCAGCGGCCTCGCTCATAGTCGTCGAAGATGCCTTCCACGAGGGCCACCAAAACAACTCCACTTCCGTGCGCCCAACCAATGCAGAATCCAATTTCAATCCGCACATGATGGGCACGGCCCAGCGAGAAATGCAACTTGGAAGCCGCGTTCCCCCCACCCGCGCACCTGTGGAAAAGGTCACGCTTCATAGTGACAAACTCCGAGATTCCACGAACAGCGCTTGCCCTTACGGGTTTTGATTTCTGTTCGTTCTATCAGATTGGGCTTGGCTGGCGGTGTGGTGGCTCCGTGGTCGCCATCGCCGCCCCGTCGCCGCCCCGTCGCCGCACCGTCGCCGCCTCGTCACCGCCCGTCTTCTGAGCCTGGCTCGCGGTCTGGCGGTTACATGGTCGCCGTCGTTGCGCCGTCGCCGCCTCGTCGCCGCCCGTCGCGTGGGCTTGCGCGTCGATCAAGCGGCTCCGCGGTCGCCGTCGCCGCCCCGTCGCCGTCTCATCGCTGCCTCGTCTCCGCCCGTCGTCTGGGTCTGGCTGGCGGCATGAAGGTTCGGTGGTCGCCGTCGCCGCCCCGTCGCCGCACGTTGCCTGGGCCAGGCTGGCCGTCTGGCGGCTACGTGGCCGCCGTCGCCACCTAGGTTGCGCCACATACATGCCACTACATAGATTATTCTTCTTTCTTACGAGATCGCAGACCCTACCCCCCTGGGATTATCCCCACCCCTTGTCGTATTGTAATGTAATGAAGATTATGCCCCATCGTCCATCCTAAATTGGAACTCGTACCATCCCAGCCGAACCGGTATCGTCCCCCCCGCCATCCCCTGCAACCAATTGTATGCGCGCACACTAGTTTACCACAGCTCATCAGTTCCCAAGAAACCTTGGCAACAGGTGCGGCGAAGTGCACGCGCGCGCGCGCGCGTCGTCGCGCGCGCATGCGAAATCCTTCAAACACGTTCGGCGTCGTGGGGGTTCCAATATCGAGTTCCAAAACATATCAAAACACACAGGATTCCGCAACACGGATTGTCAAAAAAACTCGCGCGCGCGCTTGCGAATTCTTTTTTTGATCATTTAAAAAAAAGAACCACCAGTCCTTTATCATGTTCATAACATGTTACCAAAACAAGTTTCGCGCGCGCATGTCGGAATCGTTCGAACGCCCTTGCGCGCGTGCTGTCGCGAGGACCCTTTTGCAAAGCATTGGACGAAGTGCACGCGCGCGTCGTCGCGCGCATGGGCCCGTCAACAACTTTCGGTTTGGTAGTGGTTTGAAGACAGAGTGTCCAAAACACATATAACAATATGGATTCGCAACGTCAGCTTTGACAGAAAATCGGAGCTCGATTCTTAAGAAAGCCATGCGTTTTCAACATTTTCACGACATTCTACCAACCAGGCCTCTCGCGCCGCATGCCGAAACTCGCGCGCCCTTTGCGCGCGTTCTGGGGGGGGGGCGGGGGGGCACGATCCGTGTCAAATGAAGCCACGCGGGCCACTCTCGCGCATCGGCCGCGTGCGCATGTCGGAATCTCTCCACAATGTTCATCGCCGACGCGAGGACGCCGTCATCGTCGTCGGCGTGATCAGCATCGGCGCCGTCGCTGGCCTCTCCGTCGTCGTTGGCAACGTCGTCGCCAGCATCGCTGCCAACATCATCGTGTCTACTGTTGTCGACGTTGCCATGGTGCCGCGCCCGCCCAAGTCGCCGACTCGCACTGAAAAGCCCGCTGCGATGTCCCTAATTAGCGGTCAGCGCCACTGCGGCCGCGTCGGTCGCGCCAAACTAGCTGGCCACTGCGCGCGCGTGCCTGGGTCGGCGCGGCCGCAGAGATGCACCAGCCAACGCCGCGCACTCATCGCAATCGCCGCTGCATAGGTTTTGCAAACCAAATTGCGGGTGGGTGGGCGGGGCGTTTGCAAGAGCATGGGCTGCGCCAGCGCATGTGTAAAAATCTATTGGTTGCACCGCGTAGACTGCACCGCAGAACATGCACCGCTCTCGCGTGTCCAATTTACTACGCGCCAAGGGTCGGATGCCTCTCGGCAGACGGTCCCAGCCGCGGGACACAGGCCTGCAACGCTGTGGATGCCACTTTCGCAGACGACCACGACCGCCTTGGCCCTTGTCGCCTCCCGCCGCAGGCGCCCCAAACAGCCGCCTGCAGCCGCCGCCGAGAGCCGCCCCCAGCAAACGCCTGCCGCCTCAGCGGCCTGCCCCCCTAGCTCTCCGCCTCGCGCCGACTCGGCCATGCGCGGGCCTTGCGCCGACACAGCGGGTCGCCAACGCTGTCCGCCAGCACCGAGGAGGAGACCTTCTCCAGGTCGGACTCGTCCGCGTCATCCCAAAACGCCCAAGCGAGGGCGGCCCCCCCGGGGTGGAGACAAAACCAGCTCCGGCGGTTTCGGAGGCGGCCTCGATCGCTGCGCAGGGGCAAGGTCGGCCCACTTGTCGTTCAGCTTATTCACTCCCTCATCGCTGTTAACAGCAGGCGCTGCCGCGCAGGCAGGTGCACGTTCGCGCGGCCCGCGCGCCCGCCGCCGGCCGCCGCGCTGGCGCTGCTCGCGGCCACCTCCGAGCTTCTGGTGACGGGCGCTGCCGCGAGGCTCGTCGCGTCGCCGTCCGCGTCACCAGGCGCGATGAGGGGAAGCGCGCAAGCGTCCAGCTCCCCGCGCTGCTCCACTGCCATCCTGCCGCGCCCGCCGCGGGGCCTGCGGCACCACCGAGGGGCCGCGGCGGCCGTCTCGTCTCGGCCCCCGCCGCCACGGGGATGGGGTTGGGAGCTCGCGCGAGGCAGGCCATCGCAACCCTCGCGATGCCCTCGTCGGCGCGGTGGAGGCGGACCGCCTCCCGCTCGACGCCGCTCGACAGCCCGACCGCCGCGTGGATCGCCCAGCGGGCGGCCTCCAATGCCGCCGCGGCGCGGGCGCGCTACGCCGGCGGCGTCGGCCGCGGGGCGGGGGGCGCGGAGCGCGACCCCGCTCGACGAGGCCTGATCCGAACCAGCTCACACGTGGCGCACCGCGCCGACTGCGCCACGTAGATTGCACAGCACATATTCGTTATTTCCACTGGGTTGCGCCAGCCTTGGCTGCGTCACATCTCAAACTACAGATCTGCCAGGAGGAACATCGCTCATGCACGGGCCTTCGGTGAGAATGCGCCCAACAAGGACTCGAGCCATGGAACTCGACTTCGCCAGGGAACTCAGACTGGAGCTCATTTAGAAAGCTCTGGGGGCCATGGGGGCGGGAGGAAAATAACAGAAAGAGAGCTCGGGCGACCGCCAACGTGCCTCGAACCTCAGTGACCAGGGCGTTCTCAGCGCCGGGGGCGACCGCGAGGCCATAGGCAACTTTGTCGTGGGAAGGGCGAGCGCATCTTGTGATCCACCCCGAAACCCGAGGAAGGCTCACCTCGAGATCCCCCGTCCGACTGGCAACTGCGATTCGAATGAAATGGATGGGGGGGGGCCCTGGGATTAATGTGCCCCCCCTGCAGATCAGGAAAATCTAAAAGCATATTCTTTAACCTGTGAGCCTCTGTGTTTTTGCCCCTCGGTCTCCACTCGATCGGCCCCCCCAACCCTGCACGAGGCCAGCAAATCCGACTGGGACCGTAATGCGTCGGCGCACCTGTCCACGTTGGCCTTTCCGAATGCCGCGTCCGCCACGCCCTCCAAGTCGACTATGATTTTCAGCCGATTCCAAACAGAAGGAAGCTCCCAAACCAAATCACTGTCCAGGATCACGGGCGATAACTAGATCGTAGAACACCTGCGAGTCCCGATCGTAGAAGTGATGGCGAGGCGGAACGTCTCTGGAGAGCTGGCACCGCATCGCCCGAAAGTTGAATGCCTAAGGCGATCTAGACTCGACGCAAGTTTCTTTAATCGATTGAGATGCCACCATGGCCAACAACAACGGGATGCCATCCTTCAGTTCGGAAATGGCACGCTGGGATATTGAGACTATCTGCTCCTCCCGTGACTTCCAAGACCCTTCTGGGTCTTCCTAGCCCAAGCAATTCCATGATCGACGCATATCGTTGATGAATGTGTCACGCGTCTGCCTCCAAGCCCCCATGCCGCGTTCAAGGACTCCTCTCCGTTTTGGTAGCAGCCCATCAAATCTATAAGTGTTTCCTCTGCGTTGTTCCCCCCCCCCCACAGATAGGTATCTCCATTCGCCATCCTCGTCAAAACGGAGACGTTTACCATGCTGCTGCATCACATACGGGATGTATAACAGCAGCAGTCTTTGATAGGGTACTGCCCGCTCCCCCACCTGAAGAACAATGATCAGCCCCGCTATTCATGGAGCGCTCGGAGAAACCTGTGATGTCCTTGCGACGGCTTTGAAACTTTGTACTGTTTGTCGATCAGTTTGGCTTTCCTTTGATAAAATGTGTGACGTCTTCCGGTCTCGCTTCCCACCGCAATCGCCAGATTTTCCTGGGATTCCCGTTCTCCCGAGCCCAGATTTCCCTCAGAAGCGCTCCGCTGGCCACCCGAGCGGCAGAATCACCCAGAGCACTTGTCAGCGGCCGTCGGGAGAAAGTCTTGGCTTTTTTGAAATCAGCCAGAGCGTCGACGTGAAAGAGGAGCTTGCTGCTTCTGCCGTACTTCGCCGAACCCTTGATGCGCCCAGGATCTTCATCCCGGGCATCACGGGGTCTCTCACGGCTGATGTCTGGACGCCACCTGCAGCACACCTTCAGGCAGCTGTAGCCCCTGGCCCAGCATGCGCTTGCATTCCTTCCGCTTCAGCGCGAAGCCGAAGTCCCGGCGCAGGTCGTTGAGCTCCTGCAGCGACTCCGTCCTCTCGGACATGGATTTGGAGCACACACAACACAATGTTCTCCGCCCAGAGGAGCAGGTTGAACAGAACTGCATTGAAACGAAAGCATTTGTCATTGCTCTGCCAGGCCAACAAGAGAAGGGGCAGTGATATAATCGATGATGGTATTGAAGAGACACGGCGTTTCCACGCCCCGTTGACGGCCTCCCCTACGCTTCCAAGCAGTACATTGGGAGGACGCTCCCAGCGAGAACCATACCTTGAACACCATCTTCAACCCACTCCACCTCTTCAGGACCATCCGCATTCGTGCCGTAGGCCCTGAATGGAACGACCTAGCTCCGAGCTTTCTGGATTGCGAGTTGTACATGTTTTTTTGTTATATGTGCGTATATAAAGATCCCAAATTCCTACATTCCCCTGGCACTCCTATGTTGTGTTGCTCTGCTGTTCTCGAGGCCTGTTCGTGGGTCATCTTGGAGGCCCTGGGGTCCACCCCAAAAGACCCACATCCAGGCCTCGGAGGAAATTAGCGAACATTCATGCCACATTCATGTGTCAATGCCCCCCCCAATGATCAACGCTGGCGGTGGGTTGGATGAGTTGCACTTCGACCGCGGTCTCCCCCGCGCGTGCCAACTTTTGAGTTTGGGGTGGGCGGGGGAGTGTCCACCAATTGTTAACCCTCCACCGTCACTGAAACGCACTTCGTTTCTACCCCAGCGCGTCATAACACAGCCCCAGACGCCTCCAAGAGAGTCCCAGCAGTGCCCCCGAGGCCCCTATCTGGCCCAGGAGGCGCCCAAGAGGGGGAACTCGACGAGGCGTCTGGGGCCCGGCGCCCCAAGATGGCCCCCGAGAGCGCCTTCAGCCCTCCCCAACAAAGGCCCCCCAACAGGGCCGCAGCGGCCCAAGAGAGCGCCAAGGTGGTTTCGGAGTGCCCCAAGAGGACCCCCCGAGAAGGCCCCAAAGCCAGCCAAGAGCTTCAATGCATTGCCCAGGTGTCCCCTCCCCAGTGCTCCCCCCGTGGATTCCCGAACGGGCTGCGGTAAAGAAAGGCAATCCACTTTCAATCCTCCTCCTCCTCCTCCTCCTCCTCCTCCTCCTGTTCGAGGCGGCTCTCGGTGGCTTCTGGCCTCGGGGTGCCTTCGAGCAGCTGCGCCTCGCCCCGCCGACAGCGTTCCAGGGGTGCGCGGATCGTCCCGAGCGGCCGCTGGGGACCCCGCCGAAGCGCACACCGCTTGGCTCACTCCCGCCCGCGTGGCCGCACGCACGCTCGGCATCCCGCCACCCCGGCGCCTCCAGAACACAGAGGGCGGCGGTGGTTTGCCGAAGGTGTCTTCGATAACCTGTGGGGAAGTCCGGAACGAGAACCGTAGATTGGAGACCATCTGTCATCCTCCATCCGTGCAGTCGTTACAATGACAGCTTCGTCATCGTGATGCGTGCGGAAACCTCAGGAGAACCTCCCAGATCGCCCTAGCCGTCACATTTGACGGTGCAACGGGGACGAGGGGGATGTATGAAGTGAGCCCCAGGGTGGGACATCCATGGGTCATGGAAATGGGGTCCATGGGGCGGCTCCCCAACTGCAGGAACACGAGGGGGGGGGGGCGGGAAACGGGAGGAGAAGAGAGCGAGGGTGTGGAAGGAGGGCGGGAGGGGGGAAGCGGAAGAGGAGAGGGAGCGGGATGGGGAACGGGAGGAGCAAAAAGAGGAGGGAGAGACATGATGACGACGCTGAAGGAGGAGGAGGAGGAGGAGGAGGAGGAGGAGGAGGAGGAGGACGGGGAGGAGGAGAAGGATTGCAAGGCTGATGGAAAAAAAGGAGCTTTGAGATGCTCGCGCTGTCGGTGCGCGAGGGGCTCCCTATCTGAGACGTCGCATAGCCCGCTGCTTCCGAGAGGGATGGAGGAGAGACGACTGACGTCTGCCAATCGCGAGTGAGCTGAACGAGCGGGTGCCAGACAAAACAAAAAACGGTGCACCTTCCTGGGTCCCAAGCCCTCGCACTCCGGTTCGTGCCTCTCCTGCTGCTGGATGGTGATCCTGACCCTTCTTACTCTTCCGCCCCGGACGCGTGCGCGAACATGCTTTCGTGTCTGAGTCTTCAGTGACATCTTCTCCTAGGTCGGGCATGTCCTCCTACTGGCGGGTTCTGGAAGACAAATCAAAAGTAGTCAAACCATTGTCACGAATAGTCCAGAGAGCACGACACATCGCCCTTTGACGATGTTTTTTTTTTTTTTTTCTCAATTCTCGACCTCTCTCTCCTCCGGAGGGCCAGGCCCGACTTTAAAATCTCCTCCCGGGCGGCTTTCCGAGCAGCCCTGGCCTGGCCGCGCCCCGCCCGCGGGGGGAGGGGGGCGGCGCCCTCTGCCGCTCCGCTGAGAAGGCCTCCCGGATGGGGCCGGGCTATAGGTGGGGTCGGAGGATCGCGCCGCGTCGCCGATACGTCGACGACGCATCGGCGACGCATCGGCGAGGCACCGGCGATGCACCGGCGATGCATCGTCGACGTATCGGCGATGCATCGGCGACGTCGGCGTGGAGCAGATAGGGCCCCACACCGAGCTGCATCGGCGATGCATCGGCGAGGCGGCGCGGTCCTCCGGCCCCATCTGCTCCGGCCCCACCTGGGAGGCCTGGAGCGGCGCTCCGTCTCCTGCGGGATGATGCCCAGCGAGTCGTGGAGCACGACCTTCGCGTGGACCTCGTTCGCCAGAGGGAGGGGGCCCGCCGCCGGGTCCTCGAGGCGTGGGGGGGGGGGGGCGGGCGGTAGACCCTCGGAGGTCGTCAGGAATGGCGAGGTCGACTCTGAATCTGCGTGCAGTGGGGGCCCGACCGCAAGAAGCCTTCCACAAGAAACCCAACCCGGAGACCCCAGGACGTCCATCGATGTTTGGCGTGGGAGCGTCGCGCTTTCCATGGCAACACCATCGAAAACCCAAGAAACCCAGGGCACCCTGGAGGCAAGCAAGGGTGTTTCTTGGCATGGGTCTCCACCCCCCAGCAGCCCTCGAACGTGGCCACAACTTCGCAGATCGCCGCCCCCCCCCCCCCAGGGATGGCGAAGTCTAGTCTGAGCCTGGGCATGGCGCCAGTGTACTGGCCCCCCCAGCAGCCCTCGAACGTGGCGACGGTTTCGCGGATCGGATCGCAGCCCTCCCCCCCTCCCAGGGATGGCGAGGTCTAATCTGAGCCTGCCTGGGTATAGCGACGCTGTGCTGCCCCCCCCGGGCAGCCATCGACAATGGCGACGGCCTCGCAGATCGCAGCCCCCCTGCCTGGAGTGGCGAGGTCGGAGAGGCAGGCTCGAGAGAGGTACGAGACAGGAGGAAAGAGAGAAAGAGAGAGAGAGGGGGGGCAGGGCGGAGGCGGGAGGGGCGGCGGGAAGAGGGAGCACGCGACCCCGATGCTCTTTGCAAAACGAGAACCCAACCAAGGAGGGCTAGGAGAAACAGCATGGGGGAAAGATGTGGGAAAACGGGTCGGATGTTTAATGTGGCGCGATCGCACCTGGCTTGATCCGAATACTACTCAGGAATCTCCCCGAGGACACAGTGGCGCAGCGCGCCTCCTCCGTACCTTCTTCCTGCACACATGATCTCAAAAATTCTAAGTTGCCCGGTTGTGTCAATCGGCATGTCTTCGGTGTGTCAACCTGGTGTTCTCGCTGCAACGTGGGCTTCGTAATCGGATCTGCGCCTTGCTCCCGTCGTCCAGAATGGCGTCTTCGCCCCAGCGCGTGCCCGTTCTCTGGATCCGAGTCCTTCCTCATCGTCGTCTCCACGCTCCTTTCCACTCCTCCGCCTTCCATCGGTCCTCCTGCTCTTCCCACTCCTCCTACTCCTGTTCCTGCTACTGTTGTTCATCCTCGTCCTCCTCCTTCCTCATCCTCCTGCTTCTCTTCCGGTGCATCCGCCACCTCCTCCTCCAACGTATACTGCTCCCCTTCCCTGGTTGCACATAGCACGATGGTGTCCTTTGGGAGGTTCCAGGTTCGCATTTGATACCCGTCGGCGGAAGCAGCACAGTGGGAAGGAATAGGTGGGAGGGGTAGGATGTCAGGTACAGTGAACCTGCATCATAAAGATGCACGGTAAGGATGCAAGGGCCTTGGAGGCCCATGTTAACGTTTTTCGAATGAGGCTGGCCAGCGAACGTCGCTAAGGATCGGCCGAAAGGGGCAAGGATGTAAGAGGTACCCTTGGGAAGGTTGCCCATCAGTACTATGCGGGTTGACTGTATGGCGCGAGCGCGCCCTGCTTGCCCAACCCTTCTCTCTCCCTCTCTTCCTCTCCCCCTTCCTTCCTTCGCCCGCGCCCTGGCCGATGGCCTCTACTGCCCCCCGCTCGCCCCCCGCCCCCCCCGCCCCCATCCCCCTCCTTCGGGTACCCCTGAGCACCCCTGCGTGCAACGGTAGGTGGGCTGCCGTGCCTTGCGACGACCCCCCCACACCGAAGGCTCTCGCGTCATATCCTGGAACGGTTCGGACATCCTAGGGTGTAGAGGATTGGGAGAACAACGAGGGCTGAGGACGAGGAGGCGGTCAAGCTCCTCAGAACAGCAGTTCCGCTCTCTGATGTCAGCAGTGCTAGTGTCTGCGACTCTCCATGTCGCGGGGCTTGGTTCTGAGGAATAGCCAAACACCATCATGATCATTGAAGGGGCCCAGGGACTTACAAACAAACACACACACACACACATCCCAGGATCCCCCATCTTTTCTCGTATTATCTGGATGCTCGTCTCCCCCCTCCACTTCCCATATTCTCCCATATTTTCGAGGGAATCGACGACTCATTGTGTCTGTGCGTTTTTTCCCTTCTAAATCGTGGGCGTGTGGAGGTCCGCGCAATGTTCTTGGGCCGGCGCTGGACCCCCTCCCGGCACGCCTTCCCTGGCGTTTCGGAGCGATCCTGGGAATGATGTGTGAACACGTCCAAAACCAAAGTGGGCCCTGGGACACACAAAAAGCACACGCACAAATCCAAGGATTCCCCATAGTTTCCCATATGTTCTGGGTGTTCGTCTTCCCCCCCCCACTTCGCATGCTTTCCCACCTTTCCTGGGAGTCGACGATAAATGATGTCTGTGTTTTTCCTCCTGACTCACGAGCCGTTGGAGGCCCGCGCAGATTTCTTGGGTCGGCGCTGGACGCCCCTCTCAGCACACCTTCCCTGGCGTTTCGGAGCGATCCTGGGCAAGCTGTGTGAACAAGTCCAAGAGTCAGTCGCGCGGTAAGCGTCAGAAAGAGGAGGAGGAGGAGGAGGAGGAGGAGGAGGAGGAGGAGGAGGAGGAGGAGGAGGAGGAGGAGGAAGGGGAGGAGGAGGAGGAGGAGGAGGAGGAGGAGGAGGAGGAGGACGAGGAGGAGGAAGGGGAGGAGGAGGAGGAGAGGAGAGGAGGGAGAGGAGTTAGCATGGAAGCGAGAACGAAGAAGTCCTCACCCACGAGGGCCCTGTCGACGGAGACCATCCAGGCGCCCGCGGCGTTCACGAAGGCGTCGCAGGGCCCCTCAGCTCTTGGCCTTGGGGCCCTCGGCTCTCACGGCCAACACCTGGGCAGTCAGGAGGGAAAACACACACAGACACAACTAATCGTCGATTCCTCTGAAAATATGGGAAGATCTGGGAAGTAGGGGGGAGACAAAACCCAGCAAATATGGGGAAAGCATTGGGAATTATGTTTTTGTGTCTATTTATTTGTGTGTCCCAGGGCCCCTTCAGGCAGGAGGAGCAACACGCGAGCAAGGCGGGAGAAGGAAGAATGGAGACTTCCGCAGGCCTCGGGTCAAACTGCATTCGCCTCGTCGACGGACTCCTCCTTCGCCTGGTCTCCTCCTTCTCCTCGCTTCCCTGCTCGCGTTCCTCCTGCACGCCCCGATCCTCCTCCTCCTCCTCCTCCCTCCTCCTCCTCCTCCTCCTCCTCCTCCCTTCATCATTCCTCATCCCCCCTGCGTTTCCTCGGCGTCGTCCTCCTCTTCCCTTCACCCCCCTTTCTCCTCGCTGCTCACCCTTATCCTCTGTTTCCTCCTTTTCCTACTCCTCACTCCTCGTCCACCTCCTCCGCCCCGTGCCCACATGAAGTGCATAGCGGCTCTTCTCTGTTCCCAAACAATGCTTGCACTTAGAGATCCCTACTTCCCTTCCAAGGAACTGGACCCGTTCGCGGCCCTGGCGGCCCCGTTCCCGTCCGTCGCCGCGCCCCTTCCTTTACACATTGCAGAACCGTTTGCGGCCCCAGCGACACCCTTCCCACCCGTCGTCGCCGCCCCGCTGCACCGCCCCCCCCCCATCCCCGTTGCAGTGCAACTGCGTGCCATTGCAATCGCATTGCATTGCGTTGACATCGCGCTGCACTGCAATCGCATTGCTTTGCGTTGCATTGGATTGCTCTGCATTGCGTTGTTTCGCACTGGCATTGCATTCAGTCGCATTGCTTTGCTGTGCATTGCTCTGAACTGTCATGCTCCACATAAACTGCGACAGATGGATTGCACCCCCGTAGACTGCAAGACATCACTGTTTGGGGTTCACGCTGGCTAACTTCATTCACGCCGCGCTCTTTCGACTGTCTTTGCGGATGATGGCGGCAGCGCTCCTCGACGCTGGTTCTGAGGAAGAGTATGGGAGAGCAGGTGGAACAAGACGAGGGAAGATCAAGTATCCGAATACGATCGAACATTTTCACCAATCCCGTGCACACCTCGCCGTCCCGGACGTCGAAGCCCACTACGCTGCCTGTCACCATGAGAGAGAGCAGCTGCACCGAATGCGAGCAGTGCAAGACATGGACAAGGGATGCGAGGTCAGCCCCAGTAACGCTCGAGAGATGAGATGAGAGCGCCGAGGAGGCATGACGAGAGACCGTGAGAGCAGCGGAGAGAAGAGAAAGGAGGAGAGATAATACAGCACGAACGGGCGATGCGAGGATGCCTTGCACAAGAGAACTAGAGAGATAGGACTGTGATACGCAGTGAGCGAGTGATTTTTACATATATATATACATATATATATACACATAAACAAACATTCGTATACGTATATAGATATGAAGGGAAATCGAGAGAGACACAACACATACATAAAGCGAGAGCAAAGGGTATATCAAAGGGGATATGGGCGCAGGGGGTATAGCCGATAGAAGCAGCATCAAGTATATAATGCAGGAATATGAAAGAGATACATAAAATCATACAGCTAGTTGAATATGAAAAATATACATATATATAGAGAGAGAGACAACACAACAAGAGAAATAGAGACAACGAGAAAACGAGAGAGGATAGCGGGGAGCGGACAGAAGAGCGAATATAGTGGAGGGATGGGAGAGGACGGGGTGAGATGGGAACACAAAGAGGAGTGACAGGGAGATGAGAAGGGGGAGGGGCGAGTAGGAAGGAGAGACGAGCAGACAGGATAAGCGCGACAATGACAGGGGAATGATCCAGTGAAGGACATGGGGCGTCAATGAAGGAGGGGGTGCGAGACTAGAGATAAACAAAAAAGAGCGAGGGCACACGGTATACAAAAAACAACACCGAACGAAAGACACGGAGATGATGTCCGCAACCGTGACCCCTCTGCACGTAGAGTCGGGGCGCACGGCAGGTTCGTGGTGTGAAGACTTCGGCGTTGGTTGCTGATACCTCGGGGATCGTCCAGCCTTGAACGATCGGCCCCTTCCGAAACGTCCTATCGTTCCACATCGCAGGACTCTGGGTCGATCCGGCGGCGTTCAACGTTGAACGCTGGCGGCCAGGTCGCCGCCGGTCGACACGGCGCGAAGCTACAGCACGTCGTGTAAGGCCCCCCCCACCTCCCCCTTGATGAAACCACAAGGGAGCGCCTGACCCTTTGGGAGGCGACCTCAGTTCGGAGGGCCAAACACATCAATCATAAAGGGGGTCGTTTCTGCAGATGTGTCAGGCCAGACCGCCCAAATGTACTATCCCTCGGATGCGACGACGGGGACCTCGGTGAGGCCGCGTCTTCCTCGCGTTCTCAGGGTCAGGCTTTTCTTTTGTGCTCGCGATGACCCCTCCTTCGGTGCCCGCGCCGCCCAGCCCCCCCAAAAGCTTCCCCTGGGCCGCCCCCGCCCCCATGGTTAGGTCGGGCATGTCCCCCTACAGTCGGATTTTGGACGAAACGTCGAACATACTAAACAAATAAGGACAACAAGTCAACAAATAATAGAAAAATCGTCCCCTGACTATTTTCAAACAATTGTTTGAGCATGCCTCCTGTAGAGGGACGTGCCCGACTGATCCCCACGGGGCTCCAAGAGGCCTTCTCCGTGCTGCCCTTGCGGCCCAGGAAGCCCACCTCGAGGCCGCCAAGACTGCTCCACGTAGCCTCGAGGGGCGCCCAGCAGCCCCCCTGGAGGAGGGCCAGGTGAGCCTCACGTGGCACTCGCGGCGGCCAGAACGGAAGCCAGGAGGCCCGCCAGGAGCCACAGCAGTTCAAATCCAAATGGACTGCACGTGCTGCTTGAAGTCTTCGGCGAGTCTGGGCCCCTCTGATCAGGCCGGTTCGAAGGTGACTCAGGTGAGCCGAATCGGTGTCCAACGAGCCCCTCGAGTGCCCCGGGAAGCCTCCAAGACGCCCGATGACAGCTCCACGAGGGCTCGGAGACCGCCCGAGGGGGGACCGACAACCTCACAGGAGGGCCCAAGAATGACTCGGGAGGGCCTCACGAAACTCCCCACGACAGCCCCTACAAAAAAGCCCAAGGATGGCCCCCCACAGGGCCCGAAGGCGGCGCACGACGTTCCAAGAGGGCCAAGGAGCCCAAGGCAGCCCCAAGACGACGCAGGTACGGTGTGGGCATGTTACCACTTCGAGTGCGAACGACGGTGTGGGCACTGGATAAGGAACCCTGAGATAAAGAATCCAGGGTCTGGAAAAGCTGGTGAAGCTCCAACCGTGGCTCGGCCATGGACATCACCACCGCCCTCATTGCATAAGGCATCCTCCAGGGTCTGGGGCCGCCTGGTACGATTCCTTAACAAGCGCTATGCCCTAAGATGTCCTAAGAGGACCCGAAGCCGGCCCCACAGGACCCACAAGGTAGCCCCAAGACGACGCAGGTATGCCCAGTGGAGGAGGAGGAGGAAGAGATGAGAGAGAGAGAGAGAGGGAACGAGCGAGAGAGAGAACGAGAGAGACAGAGAACGAGAGAACGAGAGGAAGAGAGAAAGAGAGAGAGAGAGATCGTCGGCGGCGAGCGAGGGGGGGGAAGTGAGAAGAAGAAGGTCCTCCCAGAAGGCGGCGGGGCTTCGCAGCAACCCTCGCGCCTTCCTGGAAGAGACTTCCGCGTCTTCGGGAAGGCTCAGGAGACTTCTCAGAAGGCCGGGGGTCTTCCGAGCCTTCTGAGAAGGTCCGCCCCTTCTCACTCCCCTCCCTGGGCTCGCCGCCGGGATAGAGAGAGGGAGCGTGGGCACTGGAAGAGGGATGTTATGATATATGGGAGAGACTATGGGGATAGAAACGATTGCTGATGGAGAGTGCTGAACTGAGGGAGACCTGCACGTCGAGAATATGGTGGAAGCATGATAGCGCAGGGTGTCGCGGAGGAGAGGGGGGGACTATCAAAGAGGGCGCGAGAAGATACCGTAGGAGGAGACAGCTGGGTGTCTATTGAAGCGGACGGGAAGCCATGACTGAGATAATGAGGTAGGAGAGGGTACGAGAGAGGAGTTGAGAAGGAATGGCACCTGGTAAATGAGGGGAGAGGAGAGAGTAAGACGAGAGCGAATGGACATCAAGTGGGACTGGGAGGAGGGTGGACGGGAAGGGAGAGGGGGGGGGCGACGATGCGAGACGACCGACGAACAGTGCCATCAGAGACAAGGGGAAGGGCGAGGGGACATGAGCGAGGCGAGGGCCGGGGGATGCGAGAACACGGGCGGGCGGTGAGGAATAGAGAACGCACGGGGAGGCGAGGGTGGCGGAGCCGTGCCGTCTGCCCATCCATGGGGGCGTTCCCGGAGTATGGCCCGGGACACCGCCTGTGCGGGCCGCCCTGCTGGCCCGACAGCACTTGCATTGCACGGCGTCGCCGGACGGAGCGGCGAATGACCTGCCCCTGGAATGGAAAGTGTCACGGCACCAGGGGGATGCACTTTCGCATCGTGACGCTGGATGCGACGAAGGGCCACAATTCCATGCGCCAGAGAACTGGACGCCGGCAACGGATAAACCGCCCCATCTACGAAAGATCACACGGAATGGTGACTGGCACTCGGCAGCAGGGGATAGATGGGCAGCATGGGATGGGTGGGGATGGATGGGGATATTTTGACTGTAGGGCAGCAGGGGGCAGATGGGGGAAGGACGGCAATGATCACATCCTGGCTTCACGTTCCTAGAAGGTTGGGCTCGCATCCTTGCCACGCAGGCATGTCAAGACGCCACCATGATCTATTTGAGAGCAAGAAAGGAGAGGAACAAGTTCCAGCCTCGCACTACTCGCAGCTCTGGTCGCGCAGCCCTGGCCGCCGCGAGCATCGCTTGCCCAAGGCCCTGGGCTGGTGCATGCGAAGACGTGGACACGGTGTTTGCCAGCATGGGCCCCAAAGGATGCGTTCTTTTTCTCTGGGCGTGCGGTCTGCATGGTACCACGTGTGGGATGAAATCAATTCGTGCTTACTGCCCGCGCAATCATCCCCCCCGGCCCCCGAACATGCAACTCGTTTGCACAGCCCATGCGGGCGCGATTGCGGTGACTCCTTGGCACTTGCTGGCGCATCTCTGCGGCTGCACTAGCGCGCGCAAGCTCGCGCGCAAAGCGACCACGGTGTGGCACAACCGGTGCGACCAGCCACGATTGAGTTGTCCGATGGCCATTCCCCAGTGCGTTACAGGCTGCACTGGCGTGCGGGCACTGCAATGCGGGTCGCTGAATCGGGCGGGCCCGGTATCATGATGACGTCGTCAACGACGGCAACGAGGATGATAGTAGCCATGGCGGTGGCGATGATGACGATGAAGGCGACATGGCCAATGACGGCGCCGATTCTGGTGACAACGATGATGGTGATGATGTCCGCGTGCTGGTGATGAGGGTGTTTGGACGATGACGGCGTAATGCTTTGAAAACAACAAGATGTCAGAACATGCGCGCGGACAGATAACCTGCAAGATGTGTGATGTGAACCCCTGGGTGTTTTGTCTTTGCACGTCGAAATGCGTGCAACACCTGTGTGATTTGTATGGTCCCAACATGGCCGCACGCACATGTATGATATGCAGATATGTTGATCATGTTTTTTGTTGTAAGAAAAGAATGCGCGCGCACAATATATCTTGACAAGGATACCAGGGAAGTCGTCACTTGTTGGGCAGGGGTTGCACATGTTCAGATGGAAAACAAGCGACGAGGCGGAGTGACATGAATATTGCAGTCCCCCCAGAAAGAAAATGTAAACTCCAAGGAAAATAGGGTGCTAGAATCTATTCTTCTCTCGAACGGAAAATCTGCGCATCTCAATCTATGCGGGGTAATGTATGTGATGCGCATAATCTGGAGTTCGTCAACTCCAATGCTCGAGCAAACTTTTACCTGCACATCCGCCGCGCCTTGGCAGCACTCCTGAGGCCGAGGGCGCAGTTACCGATCAGAACTTGCCAGCGAACCCCAACACTTACACCGACGAGCGGGCCTATCTCACGCAGATCCACGGACCTGGTGGGCGAGTGAAATGCAGCGGGGGGAGGGGGGGGGGGCCTGGTTTCAGTGAACAGCGACGACTGGCTGCACAACTCTGGAAAGCCCTACACCGAATGGTTTCAAGCAGAGCAGCGCACCGAATTGCGCTTTGCGCCCGCGGGGCCGCGCGCGAGTGGCCCGCGCGAGATCACTTGGCATGGCAAGCGGGGAGCATGCAGGACCCATGGCTTTAGCATCTGCCCCGTGCTCTGTTGCGAATGGCTGCGGCGCGCGCGCGCGGGGGCGCGCGCGGCTCCGTCGCCAGGAAACGCGTGGCTGCCATGGTTTTAACAAGTGGGTGCGCAGAAAATCTTGACGTAACAGTTGCAGACATTTTGGTTATGTTGATGCACGCCGATACTTCACCGCACATGGCTTCCCCATGCAACGTCTGCACTCAGAGGCAGTACTTCTCTTCTGCAGAAGTGAGACTGGGGGTTGGTTCGGCCGGCTTGCGGCCGCCCGCCGCCGCCCGTCGCCGCCGCCCGTGGTCGTGATTTTGACTGTCCAAAACCCGCACTGCACACTGCTCCGCATTGCGTTGTATCGCTTTGCGCAGATCCGCATTGATTCTCATTAGTTTGCATCTTGTTGCGTGGTTTTGTATCGCTTCGCGTTGCTTCGCATTGTCTTGCATTGCGTTGCTCTTGCATTGCGTTGCATTGCTCTGCGTTGCCTCGCATTGCTTTGCACTGCGTCGCACTGTCCTGCCTGGCTTGTTTTGCTTCGTTTTGCTTTGCGTTGCTTTGGAATTGCCTTGCGATGCCTCGCATTGCGTTGCATTGAATTTGCTTTGCTTTGCTGCCTTGCGTACGCTGTTCTGCACCACAGAAGTGGCACCGCGGGGCTTGCGGCATAGGCAACGCCACATGGAATGCGCAACCTAGTTTGCACCGCGTAGTTTGCAGGAAATCAATGCGCGGGGCCCACACTGGTAAACACACGTGTAAAGATGAAAGTATACATGTTCTAAAGGCATCTCGACTTTGACATGCGCCACAACCAATGGCTACCGAAGGGTTTCGACGTGCGCGCGCGGAACCGCGCGGACATGCTCCGCGCGGTCAGGGTGAGGGGGCCCAACGACCAGTCACTGTCCCTGAGCGCGTGGCTGAAGTGGGGTCTTGCTGCGCGGATTGGCGCTGCGTCGTCGCTGCGTCGTTGTCGTCGTCGCCCTCTCCCGCGACCCCCCCTTCGACCGGCCCGCAATCCGCCCCGCGACCCGCCCGCGACCCGCCCGCGACCCGCCGCGCGACCCGCCCGCGATCCACTCCGCGCCCGCCCCCATCGCCCTCGTCCGCGCCTCCGGCGTGCCGCGTACCATTCGACAGGGTCGACGGGGGAACTCGTGAATCCCTTGCTCAGCCAGCGCGCGATGGTCCTCGACCGGGTTTTGACGCGCGCGCGCGCGGGGCGCGGGCTCGCGGCCCGAGCGTCTGCGCGCGTCGGGGCTGGCGGGGATACGTCGAGCTTGCCAACCGTATTGAACGCGCGGCTCTCTCCAGCGCGCGCGGGAACGCGCGCGTGTTGTCCGCGCTGCCCATAGGTCGAGGCCGAATTGAGGGGTTTGAGACTTCTCGGCCCGCAACGGCCGACAGTCAACGTGAACGCCCCCACCTCCCTCCAGTGGGCTTCATTGGAGGGGCATCTAGCCGACCTGGTCAAGCCCAGCGAAGCCCGGCGAAGCCGCGAGAATCGCAACAACTTCTCAATCCCGGCCGCAAGTCCGGCAACGTTCAGCAGATGCCCTAATTCTCAAGCCTCGAAGTGCGCTGACGTGCGCGGGGAGTGGAGGACCTGCCAGGCGCTTCCCATTCGCGCCCCAACGCGTCCCTGAACATCCCTTGGCGCCCTCAACACATCCCAGTGGTTCTGCGGAACGCGGGGGCCGGGCGGTTCCCCGTGCATCACGGGTGCAGCTTAACCTACAATGCAGAAACATCGACTGTACCACATATATTGCACGAGCTAGATTGTACCGATACAACATAGATTGCACAACCTATATTGCACACGACATATTGCACAACATGTAATACACCACATGGATAACACACAACATACTGTACAACATCGAATTCACATGATCAGTTGCACAACATCGATTGCACCACGTAGCCTGCACAACATAGAAACATAACCTATTGCTGACAACCAACTGTTTGGAGTCCACGCTGGCTAATATTTAGAAAGATCGGCCCTCCATCCGCGAAAGTGCCGCACAACTCCAAACTTTCGGCTATGGACATTTAACCTGCGGAATCATACTGCGAAAACCCCGTTTTGAAAAGTGTGAATATGTTGCAGAATTCGGATCGTCGGGTCACAGGTCTAAGCGACAATTCAAACGAGAACCCTACTTCTAAAGCGGACCGGCCTCCATCAGGGTAGCTGCTGCACAAATGGGAACCTCGGGCCATAGAGTTAGAGAAAGTCTCAAGCGAGAACCGCACTCCGAAAGGCCTCCATCGATTCTTGCAGCTGTGCGCTGACAGCTTTAGAACGAGTGTGCGCGGCGATGCGGCGAGACCAATACTCGACGCGCGAGAGTGGCCCGCATGGAATTATTTGACACGGATCGTGCCCCTCCATCACGCGTGCAAGGGCGTGCGATGATGTCGGCATGCGGCGCCATAGGCCCGTTTGGCAGAATTCAATTCAAATGTTGAAAGTCCGATGGTATTCTTAAGAATTCGCAAGAGCGGGCGCGCAATATGTTTTTTGTTTATAAAAAACTGATGTTGCGAAACCTTGTGTCTTTTACTGTTTTTGTTGGACGTTCGGTTTTGAAAGCCACCCATTCTCGATACTGGTGGCTGCTGGGAACTCTCGAGCAGAATGTGCGTGGCGCTAGGGCGAGAACTGCATCCACTGGCCTTCTATCCGTGCACCAGTTCGAACGCCTCCTGTCCAAGTAAAACGGGCCAGCCAATGAACACGTCGGGTGGCGAGAATGGGGAGCAGAGGGACGGGGGCGGCAGCTGGGGAGACGGGGGGCGCTGCGAATTCATAAAGAGGAGCCAGAAACAAAGGAGGCTTGGCAACTAGTGTCAACCCGTATAATAAGGATGCAAGGGCCTTGAAGGGCCATGTTAACTGGCCAGCGAACGTCGCTAAGGATGGGCGGAAGGGGCAAGGATGCAAGGGTACCCTTGGAAAAGTTGTCCATCTTTAACATGCGGGTTGACTGTATCCAGCGCCGCGAACACACCGCGAAGGCAGCCGCCGGGACCCCTCTGGGAGAGATTCTGGGTCCTGGATCCTTGTTGCGCAGCATGGGAAAGCAGATTGGAGACGCTACCATAAAGAACCCCCTTCATCTGACAGCGAAGAACAGCGAAGGAAGACCGGCAAGGACGGAGGGACCGAGACAGAATGCTATTCCTTCTCTCCGTCTCCCCTCTCCTTCTCCTCCTTCTCCTCTTCCTCCTCCTCCTACTCGGAAGAGAGATCGATGGCTGGCTCCTGGGCGTCCAGCCAGCCGCACCGGCGAGCGTGCAGCATGGCCGTTGCCTTCTCGCTGACGAAAGGGAACACCTGCTCAATGCAAGAGGGATCAAGGCAGGAGAGTGAGGAAGGGACCAATCGAGGGAGGGGGGATGTCCAACATCATAAAAATTCCAAGGGAAATGCCCTCACGGAGATCCCTGCCTCCACAGGAGGTTGAAGCGGTGGCGGCTGCATGAAAGAAAGGGGCTTGCGTAAAGAGCATTTGGCCAAGTCTGCCGCTTCGTCAAAGGCGTCGGCTCCGCATGATCTGCAGAATTCGCACTGCACCACTGGGCGGAACACGCCCCCCCCCTGCCTCACACACGCAGGGAGAGGAACGAGTCAAACGAGTAGCTTCCAAGTTGCCTTTGCTGCGCTGCCAGCAGCACACGCACGGGATAGTAATCGATGCGCAGTGGGCAGGAAGGAAAGGAACACGAGGCAGTTCAATCTTGCGATGTCAACAACAATATGCTGCAACTGCGGCAATGGGTAGGCCCAAGCAACCCTGGCGCCACGCTTCGCCACAATATAGGCGATTGTGTTGCACGACGATGCAACTCGCGCTCCCTAGGCGCGACAACGATTGGTGGGCTTTCACCGCGTGCCTCATACTACGATCAATGCCAATGTCGTGGGCATTCGCGGATGCCCGTTCCCACAAGTCGCAATGACCAGCCGTTCTATTCAGCATAAGCTCTGGCTTACGTCACCTGTCCACACGCCATTGGCAACCACTTAGACAAAAACACCGGCCCCGATGCAGCGGGAACGCAGTGCGACAAACAGACCTAAGATGCACGTGAGCCCGCTGCAAATACCCGCTGCTTCATCTGAGGCAAAGCTCCGCGTGCCGCCGCTGAGACCAGCAGCTCGGTCCTGACGGCAAGGCCGTCGACAACGTGCTGTGGCAGATCCAACGGCATGAAAACCCACTCTCACCGGGCAATCGCAACCACCTTGCACGTTTGGCCAGAGCCGGCTCCCAGAGCTGGAGAGCCACTTACAATCATTGCCTGAAGGATGGCGGACACATCTGTTTGACAGGCGGCTCCTAAAGAGTGAGCTGTTAGGCGGAAGTGGTGGTCGGGCGTGGGGCATCAGACTTTAAGCTTCAAACGAACACGTCTGGATGAGAGCGACAAGCTTTGAAAAGAACATCGGTGTCGGCGTTCGGAGGTGAATCACATGACGGCTCCAGGCCGTCGCATGCCGAGAGAAAAGAGTTGGAGTCTCAAGGGAATGGACTCCATCCGGCAGAGCGGGCACTGTGCAACGCCTCTGCGAAATACTGCCGCATGCTCTCAAGTTGTGCAAGCTATCACCTCGTGCAATGGGGGCGCGGAGCGGAGGGACATTCAGGTGCACAAGCCGCTGGTGGTGCACTCGGCGCCCTTTCGCCTGTTTTCGGCGAAGCGAACACGGGGAACGTCAGGGTTTGGAACTTCTCCGTGGCTCCAGATCTGTCCGAAACCCACGCGTGCCCCAACACGCCAGCACCAGCATCCCGAAGACGACGGAGATCGGCCGACATTTCAGCCAACGCCCACGCTAGAAGAAAAATCGGCATAAACATAAACTTTTGTCTCGTCGCGTGGATTTCTTGGATCCGCGCTTGGGCCCCCTCCCTGGCGCGCGGAGCGCGCCAGGGGCGGCGCCGGAGGCGCCGTCAGGGAGCTCCCAGCGCGGATCCGAGAAATCCGCGCGGAGCGTCAAAAGCTTATGCTTATGTGTTTTTCTTCTTGGACACGCACATGTCCAGCCACCACTGAAGGAGGGTTTCGTACGTAATGCTGGCAGGGCCCGCAAAGTGATCCCGATCGGTGGTGTGCCACAGTGTCGCAGGAAGGATCGCCGTCTGAGGTTGGGGTCCGTCGGCAAGAAAAGCGGCAACTCCACCCTCCAGGACAAGCGAGGGGAGGGTTATGTTGCTCCCATCGTACTTCAGGACGACATCCCAGAAATCATTTCGAGCACCGAGGAAAGTATGGAAGCAGTGTCGAACGAATATCGCCTCCCAGGGCCCGACGCGTGAAAACCCTCCAATTTCCGTGTTTTCTTGGTGCTCGGAGTTCTCTCTGGTGATCCAGGCTGAAGTAAGTTAAACCATCAGAATGGAAGGGAGAGACAGGGAGAGAGGCAGGGAGGGAGGAGGGAAGGAAGAGGTGGACAATAGGATGAGGGAGAGAGGATCGCCGTCTGAGGTCGGGATCCGTCGGTAAGGCCGGCGGCAGCTCCACCCTCCAATATAAGCGAGGGAAGGGAGGGAAGGGGGGGGAGGGGAAGGGAGGGATGGAGGAGGGAGGGAAGGAAGAAGTGGACAAAAGGATGAGGGAGGGAGAGGGGGGAGGGAAGGAGGGAGGAGGGAAGGAAGAGATAGGCACAAGGATGAGGGAGGGAGGAGGGGGGGAGGAACTCGGAGGAGGAGGGAGAGAGAGAGAGAGGGAGAAGAGGGGGAGTGCCCCGGAAAGCCGATGCCCAGGGCCCCAGGGACCTGGACAAAGGGAACCCGAAGACGGTCCTCCAAGGCCTCACGGGGGCCCCTAAGGTGGCCCATGGACACCCCGAAGCCTTGTGGATGCCATGATAATGTATACCCCAACAATCCTATCATTTAATTAGCATGTAACATGTTTTAGAACTTTTCTAAAAAGGTGTAACACATGTGTTGAGCACATTTGAGACAAGTTTAACACATTGGTTTTACATCTGGAAGCTATTTGGCAACATGACAGCTCTCCATTTATCGTCGTCCACAACCTAAGAAAGACTCCAGAGGCGCTCGACGACCCGAGAGCGCCCTGAACGGCACCAGAAAGTCTCTCAAGACTGCCCAAGAGGGCCCGAATAAGTTCGGGGGCAACTCATGGGAGCCTCCCATACCATCTTGTCGGCTAGTGCGAGCCGACGCCAATCGCCGCTACATCGACGCTCGTCGACGCTATAGATCGGCACTGCCTCATCGACTCCCAGACGCTAATCGACGCTACTCGACGCTAAAGACAGAACTGCTACGGCACACGAGGCTCTCATGATTTGCTACCGGAAAACAAGTGCCCGTCAAGACCAACACGGCAAGAACAGAGCCGCACGTCGGTCCCAAAGAGCCCCTCCTCAAAGACCCCCCAATGGCTCCCCCAAGAGCTGGGGAACACGCAATTTGACTCGGCATTCTTCGACACAGCAAGCGCTTCCAAAAGTCAGGGGGCGGCCGTGACTCGCCGCAGGAGTGGTCGACATTTGCATCCTATTAGAGACAGAGACATGAGATATCCTCGTCATCCTGCCCCACCTCTCTGGCCCCCGATCCCTCGTAATTCCCTGCTTTTGCTGCTCCGCCTTGGCCCACGACACGGTCCGTCCAACTCATTTCTTCCATGGGCGGTCGTTGCGTTAGGTCGGGCATGCCCTCCTGCAGGCGGATTTCGGGAATCAATAAAAAAGTCAACACATTCTCATATAGTCGAGAGAGCACGAACAATCGTCACCATACTATTTTTGACAACTCTTGAATTTTCCTCCTTGAGAAGGACATGCCCGACTTAATCGTTGAGTCCTTCCCCCTCTCTTTCCTCCCGCTCCCCCCCCCCCGCTCCCTCCTCCTCTCGCTCCCCACCCCTCCTCTGCCCCCCGCTCCCTCCTCCTTCTGCTCCCCCTACCTCCTTTGCCGAGGTCGAGGAGGCATGATCGCGGCACCTCTCGGATGGCGTCGGAGCCGACGAGCAGGTCGAAGCCGTCCAGCCCAGGGCCGCGGAAGCCGCGGACAGGGCTCCTGACGTAGCCGCCGCTGGCCGAGGCTCGGTGGTGCTTGCGCACGGGCCCGCCCCCGAAGTGCGAAGCGGCCTCGGCGAACGCCTCCAGGGCAGCGCCGCCGCCCTCCGTGGCAGACAGGAAGCAATAACCGCGCCGGCCAAGCCCGATGAGGTTCTCGTCCCCGGCCAGCTCCTCCAAGAGGTCGATGGACCGCGACATCAGGGAGACCAGCGGCGGGTCCATGAAGAAATTGCGGTAACACTCGGTCGAATACTGGCTCGTCGCGGTCAGGGGCGGGCGGGGATCCAGCACGGTCACGCGCGCACCTAGCCGCGCTAAGTGCATGGCGGTGCTCGCCCCCGCCGCGCCGCAGCCGGCAACCGCCACGTGCTTGCCCGCGGCGGCTTCGGCGGAAATGCACCGCGCAGCTCGCGCAGGCGCGGCGCATGCCGACCCGCGCCAGGGGGCCCGCTGAAGCGCCCCGGCGCCCGCGGCGCGCCCCAACGACCCGCAAGAAGCTGCGGCGGCCATGGCGGCGCCCGGGTCTGGGCCCGCCAGCGCGCTTGCGGGAAAGGCCGGGGGGAAAGGGCGGACGGAGGGAGGGCGACGAAGGGACGACGAACGTAGGGAGGACGAGGGATGGAGGGACGACGAGGGGAGGAGGGAGAGGGAGGAATGGATTGCAATGCGGCCAAAAGCGGACGGGTGCTTGCCTCGCCGCCGCGGCGAGGAGGCGAGCGGAACCGAAACCACGATCCTGGCACATGGGGCGATGCACTGGTGCCCGTGACTCTCTGGGCACTGCGCGCGGAGACGCGAGAACGCAACATCTCAAATGCCTAAATTCATCCGTGCTGGCATGAGGTCCACCGCTTTTGTGCCGATGCCAGTAAGCATATGATGTTTTAGCGCCTTTGGCGTCGTCGTCGAATATCAATCCTCCGGGTGGAGCGAGGAGGTTGTGGAGGATGAAGAAGATTACCAATACAACCGCCATTGCTACGAAAATGAAGGATTTGCCTGGGCCTGGGAGGGTCCAGGAACGGAGGGGAACACAAAACAGTATGGGGCGATACGGAACAACACGGGAGGAACTGTGCCGAGCAAGGTGGGCGGACCAGTACGGAGCAATGCGGGGCAGGTCGGGCGGTAGAGTGCGGAGCAAAACAAATGACGCAATGCAATTGGGGACAAATTTGGGCAAAACGGGCAAGGCATACGGAACAAACCGGACGCAAAATACGGCATACGGAAAAAACGCAAGGGAAGCACGGAACAATACGGAACACGACGTTCGGGGCGATACAGGGCGGCACCCGGAACAATACGAAACAATATGTGGCAACGCGAAACACTACGGAACCGCACGAAACAAGACGAAGCAAGGCGTGCGGAACAACACAAAGCAACATTGGATCACTACGTAACGCGACGGATCACTGCGGAACTAGACGGGGCAGTACGGACCAGTACGCAGCAACGCAAAACAATTTAAAACAGGGTGTGCGGACCACTGCGGAGCAGCAAGGAACAATACGAACCAATACGGAGCAACACGTCAAATAACGGGGCAAGTTGGAACAACACGGATTGCTACTCCGTGCTGGCTCACCCGTTTCCGAACTGTTCGGTTCGACGTGCTCCGTAGTGTTATACGCGTTTGGTTCCGTCTTTCCCTGTATCGCTTGATCTTGGCTTCCGAACTCCGTGCCCCCCCGCATTGTTTTTGTCGTGGCGGCGGCAACGTCTCTGCTCCTCCGCTGTCTCAGCGTCTTCATCGTCTTCCTCCTCCTCATCCTCCAACTCCTCTTCCTCCAACTCTTCCTCTATCTCTGTGCTGCATATAACGACCTCAACGGCCATCGGTGTGGATATTCCTCAACATCTTTCTCCTTGTCGCAATGGCGGCGATCGCGGCGGTGCCTCCCGTCTTCCTTTTCGTCCTCCTCCCCCCGCTCCCCCATCCCCATCAACATGCTGCTACCACATCCCATCATCGTAACGACGGCGGCGCGCTCGCCAATTTTACTATGCCTCGTCATCCTCCCTGTCGTCAGTCGTCGTGGCGTCGTTTGTACTTGTCTTCGAATCCTCATGCACGCTGATTTCTGGTCACCTCGAACTTCCAACCCAGCAAGGCCGGCGCTGCCGCGAAATACGCGCCCGCAGACTGCAACAACACAGCGCGTCGCGCTGAGCGAGGCAAGCGCACGGGGTGGCATGGTGGGCCAGAAGCAGTTGATGATGGGAGCCCACGCGGACCAAAAACAGCGCCACGCACTGCGTGGCGCAGCGGCTCCCTGCGAACTGCGGTGCGACAACGCCGAGCGCTGCGTGACGGGACGGCGCCGCGCGCGATGGGAACGTCTGCCATGGAGGGTGGGAGCAATCGCCATCAATTGCAATTCTTGCCGCCGCCCGCGCCAATGAGGCGCTGGCGACGACTACCGCGAACTCACCTAACACCGCAAGCAGGTGCTTCTGCCAGTCGTGCAAGAACTGCTGCAAGCCGCGCTCGCGCGCCAACCTCTTTGCCGCGAGGGGGGCCAGGGAGCCGCGAGGTCTCGACGGGATCCCCGTACCACTCCACTCCGCTAGGCCTCCAAGGAACCCACGGGAATGGCGTAAATTTCACCTTCCCGAGAGCCGCGAAGTCTCAACTGGGTCACCGTACCACTCCACTCCGCGCGACCTCCCAGAACCCGCGAGCGCGGCGTCAATTTCACACTTCGCAGCCCCCCCCCCAAGGAGCCGCGAGGTCTCAACTGGGTCCCCGTGTAACTCCACTCCACGCGACCTCCCAGGAGCCTGCGGCAGTGGCGACAATTTCACACTTCGCAGCCCCCCCAAAGAGTCGCGAGGTCTGAACTGGGTCCCCGTGTGACTCCACTCCGCGCGACCTCCCAGGAGCCGAAGCGAGAGGCGACAATTTCACACTTCGCATCCCCCCCAGGGAACCGCGAGGTCTCAACTGGGTCCCCGTGTAACTCCACTCCACGCGACCTCCCAGGAGCCCGCGACAGTGGCGACAATTTCGCACTTCGCAGCCCCTCAGGGAGCTGCGAGGTCTCAACTGCGTCCCCGCACCACTCCACTCCGGGCGACCTCCCAGGAGCCCACGAAAGTGGCGACAACTTCACACTTCGCAGCCCCTCCTCCTAAAGAACCGCGAGGTCTCAACTGGATCACCATACCACTCCACTCCCCGCGACATCCCAGGAGCCCACGAACATGGCCACAATTTCACACTTCGTCGCCCCCCAGGTAGCCGCGAAGTCTCAACTGGGTCCCCGTGCACCTCCAATCCGCGCGACCTTCCAGGAGCCCACGCGAGAGGCGACAATTTCACACTTCGCCGCCCCCACCCCCAGGAATCGCTAGGTCGCAACTGGGTCCCCACGTAACTCCACGAGAGAGGCAAGGGCGGGAAAGAGGAGACAAGGTGCAGGAGAGAGGATGAGGGGAACGGGAGACGCGACCACAGCGCTCTATTCAAAACGAGAACCCAACACAGGAAGTCCGAAACAAGTAAGCAGGAGGCAGGAGGCAGGAGGGAGGCGAGAGGAGACGCAACCACAGTGTTCTTTTCAAAACGAGAACCCACCACAGGACGGTTGGGACAGATTGTGGCATGTGTTTCTGTTAAACTCCCGACGGCCAAGACGGCCTACGAGAATCCATAGGCCGCCCTAAGATCAAGAGGATTTACAAGAGGTCGAAACCATTGATGTTCCATTGATGTTCCATTGATTTTAGCGTTCTCGCCTTTTCGCGCCTCTGATGCGCCGAGACGGCCACAGGTGCTCCCAAATCGCCCCAAGACGGTCCAAGAGGCCCCCAATAGGCCCCACAGACCGCCAAGTCGTTCCGAAAGCGATCAAACAGGGACCCATGACGGCCCAAAGAGATCCCCAAGACGGCCTCCGAATGCCAAGAGGTCCCTTAGAGGCCCCCAGGGGCCCCAATGAGCCCCCAAGAGGCTCCGGGAGGACCCCAAGAGGCCCCAGGAAGCCCCCGAGAGGCCCTGAAGAGGGCCCCACGAGGCTCCCAGAAAGCCCACAAGAAACCACAAGACGGCCGCAAGGTGTATCCTTTTCCGCCTCTCCTCCTCCTCTTCCTCCCCCTCCTCCTCGCCATCATCCTTTTCCACGTCCTCCTTTTCCTCCTGTTCATCCTCCTCTCCAACGGTTGGGGAACACATGATCCAATAACTTGGCCAAGCTTTGACCCAACGTTTGGCCGCATGGGCGTGAACAAAAGGCAGGTGGCGGCGGTGTTGCGCAGGAGTCTTCGATCAAACTCCACTTGCAAGGTCCTCGGAAATATCGATGTCATATATCATATCAGAAATTTCGGTCGAGAAGTCCTTCGACTTGGCGATCCACCTCTGAATGCTCGCCCAGTAGGCGGAGCATCTGCAGAGAGCCGAAGGTAGACAGCGTGGTCGCTCAGCAAACTATGCTAGGGAATGAAATTGAGGAGGAGAACGGAGATGAAGGAGGAGAAACACAATGAGCGAAAGAAACAAGAACACGATGATAAGGATAAGAAGGAGAACCAGGAGCGGGAGGGGGAGGAATGATGGCTGCCACGAAAGACTAAAAGGCCAGGAGAAAAACGGGCCCTGGAACCCGTAGAAGAAGAAATAACGCCATGAACATAAACTTTTGGCGCTCCGCGCGGATTTCTCGGATCTGCGCTGGACCCCCCTCCCTGGCGCGCGGAGCGCGCCAGAGGCGGCGCCGGAGGCGGCGCCGGGGAGGCCCAGCGCGGATCCAAGAAATCCGCGCGGAGCGCCACAAGTTTCGGTTCATGGCGTTTTTCTCTTCTTCGGGCCCCGGTGCTTCGCCTGTGAGTGGCCCTTCGCCCCGAATCGTCCTCCTGACGGCCCCCTGGCGTTCTTTCTTCTTCGGGCCCTGGTGCTTCGCCTGTGGGTGGCCCTCCACCCCGCATCGTCCTCCTGACGGCCCCACCCGGGGGCCGGGGGACGGGCCCCCGCGGAGGCCAGAAGCGGCGAAAGAAGTGGCCTCGGGGCCCCGTATGGTCCCTCGGGGCCCCAGGGCAGGGCACGGGCTCGAAGGGAGCACAGTCAAAATCTGCAGTGAGGACGCGCTGCAGGGACGCAAGGCCCTTGGACGGTCCTTGGACGCCCCAGTTGAAGCTTCTCTAGCGGCGCACTGCCGAAAAAACCTAAGGACGCAAGGATGCCATTGGGAAGGTTACCCGTCCTTGCTATGACTTTTCACTGCAGCCTACATCCCCATCTAGGGGGGTAAATCGGCCAGTGGGGTCCAGGCCACGCCCGTGGGAATAGGAATCTGTTGAACGATCATCAGATTCAAGGATCGAGCGGATCGAGCGGCCCTCCTTCCTGCCAATTCGGGTGGGTGGGGGGGGGCGGGGGCCAACGTGAATACGCATGTGAACAGACACATGCAGCCATAATCGCAGCCGTCCGCATGCATGGGAGAGGGAACACACTCAGGCTACACAGCGTCATAGAAGGACATGCGGTTGTGACAGATGCTAGTGTGCCTTTTTCATCGCGGTTCTGGGGCTTTGCATGCTATGGTACGCAAAAAACAAGGAGCCTTGCCCGCGCGAGTGTAGCACTACGTCAATTAGCAACTCTATCCTGCAGGGGTCCAACTACTAGCGCTCGAACCTACGCGTAAGGGAAGGACGCAACAAACAAACACGCACACACGACCTCCCCGCCTCCCCTTCCCAAACCCAGCCTCCCCCATCCTCACCCGTCATCCCTCTCCCTCCTGCCCCCCTCTCCCTCGCTCCTCCTGCGGCTCCCCGCCCTCTTCCTCCCCTGGAAGACCGAGGAGGCGGGAAGAGACTCAAGAAGACGGAACAACATTGCCACACATGGATTTCTTATGCTCCTCCTCGCCCCGTCCTGGAGACCCAAGGAAGGCGCCAAAAGGGACGGCGGAGATGACGGCGAAAGCCTTTTAGCATTGGGGCGCAACAACACGCCCCCGCAGGAAACGGGTCCTGGGCCCCAGGGGGCATTTCCGAGACTTGGGGGGGAATATTTTTTTTTTCTCTCCGTCTCCGCAACCTGCCCTCCCCAATCGAGGGAGCCCACAAAAGACAGGAGCGCTCACCCGCGCACATGAACACGGCCCCCGAGTCCGCGAGACCAGCCGCGGGATACGAGGCTTCGCGCAACGTGTACTCTCGCCACCAGCGTGGACTCCTGTACGCGTCCGTCCTTCGTTCGCTCCTGACCTCTGGCCCACACCCCGGCCTCACCGCGTGCCGGGCCGGCTCACTGCCGGCAGGACGCGCCGGGCCGCTGGGGCCCCACCGAAGGCCTCCACGCCCGCGCCTGGCGCCGTCGTCGTCGTCCTCCTCCCCAATGGCTCCATCCTCCAGCACCCTCGCTATCCCTCCCTCCCTCCTCCATTGCCTCCCTCTCTACCGACCTCCAGCACCCTCGCTATCCCTCCCTCGCTATCCCTCCCTGCCTCCCTCCTCCACTGCCTCCTCCACTTGCCCCGACGTGCCATCGGCACGATGGCTGCCGATTCGCTTTCGACATCGCTCCCGACCTCTAGCTTCCAGCCTCCGACTGCCAGCACCCACCATCTGTCGACGCCCACTTCCCCACTTCAGCGACTCCTGAGGGCTCTGGCCACACCGCATTGCCCTCCTGGGGCAGGTCCCGCCGGACCGACATCGCGCGCTCGATCCCTCCCTCCCTCCACCACTACCCTGCATCATCCTGGATACTCTTCCCTCTTTACCTTTGTCCCCCCGGCCCTTCTTCTTTCTTCCTTCCCTCCGGCACTGCCTGAAGCCGTAGCCGTGCAATCACAAATTGCCCTCCTCCAACTGAACTCGTCGGTCGGAAGACGTGTGTGGAAGCATGAAGTAGGAAGGAAAAGGAAGCAACACTCGGTAACTTAAGTAGGAAGGCGCCTGTAGTAGGTTGGGACCTGGACCCCCCGAAGAATACCTACTCTCAACGACCGACGGGTACAACAGTTGGAGTCGTGGCTGTGCAGGTTACAAGTCGTGGCTCTACAGGTTACAGGTTACAAGTTCCACTGCTCGAAGTCGTGGCCCACAGTTACAGTTACACGGTGCCCAGATGCCTTCTCCAAAGTGTTCAGGCTGCAGCCGCGGCGGCCGACGCCAAGCCCCAGAAGATGCCCATCGGCGCACCCTAGATCTAGCACAACCGCGATAAGGCTTTGCAAAGCCCCGTGCCGGCAGACATCAAACCACACTGCAAATAGACGCGCTCGGGATGCCATCGGCCACCCGTGCTGCAGACACATCGCTACCCATCATGTACCACGCTTGCTGCCGAATCTGGCACCGGGGTCTGCTCTCTCGGTAGCCGTGCGATGCAAACGGCCTTGGGCTGGTGTGAAAACCAGCCCCGCTGCCGCAGAGCGGGCCCCCCCTGGCTGAGAGGCGCCCGGCTCGCCAGTGTATCCGCCCACCGCCGATGTTGCGCTCGGTAGTGCTTCAGTATCCAGCGTCAGCGGCTGCGCGTCTGCAGCAAGCAGCGAGTCGACCATTCCATCGAGGACTCTACGGTGCAGGGCTCGCTCCAGCCGAGCACGCACACGCACCAGGAGCAACTCATGTGTGCCCGATTGGCTGATTCGCCACCGTGCCACCTGGCACGTTGAGGCGTGGAAGAATGCCAAGGTCTGCCTGGTAGGTTTTTCTTGAATTCTCATAAACGACCACCGCTCCCTCTACCGGCAAACTCCTGCGCGGCTGGCTTTCCTCGCGTAGCTAGGTCTTGTTTCTCGACTGCCTTACTCGGATTGCTTGGCCTTTCGTTTCTTTACCGACGGCCTTGCTAGATTAGGTGCCGTAACCTACTCCTCGGGAGACCTAGGGCAACGAACTCTAAACTTGAACATGACAGTTCGATGCGTAACCAGGCGCTGCATAACTCGAGACACAACCGAAGAGGGACAACGACCCTCAAATTGGCACGCGATCAAGCCAAAACAAGCCCTTGCTCAGAGCTCCTGCCTCGGCTTTGGCCGAACCGCCGACAAGAGGAACATGTGAAACATCGGTCCTACTTCTCCCAACATGCAACTCAGTGTCCGTTATTGTCGTGCTAAGTTGGGACCTTTCTGAACATGTCATTCGCGTGCCTCACAGCAGAAGCACTACCCGAAAGAGAAGCCTGTGTACTATCCTGAGGGTCTCCCACCAACAACTCACATGGCTGGCGTGGCTGGCCATTCGCGCACTGGCGACACCATCACATTGGATCTAACCGCGCTTTCATGCACGAGTGGCGCCTGTGCCGTTGATTCTCGAAGCGGAAATGCGGCATCTGAAAATAGCAGAGGTACCTTGCTCAAACACATTTCAATTCTCAGTGGAGGGCGGAGTATGAAAGGCGAGCCTGAAACGACCCATTTCCAGCCCGCGACGCCTGCATCGGCTACACGCAAGAGCGACCATGAGTAAGGAGTGACCCTTGGTGCGCGCCTCTTTCGGGGCAGAGGGGTGACCAAGCACAGGCGCGCAAGACGCTGCTATCGCATCGCGCTCGGCGATCAGTCGGGGATGGACAGAACCCCCTTTAGCAAAACGTGGTTTAGTGAAAACGACCTCGGCCAAAACCTGGCGGGCGCAAGCCTGGAAAATGACGGCCGCGGCGCCCCCTCGAGAACCGAAAACGGACAATTCACTAGTCGACGTGTCAAGGTGGGGGTTCTGTCCACCCCCGAATCAAGGGGACCCCAGTGTGCCCGCATCAGAGGTCACTCCGGCGAAGGGTCACTCTTACGTCTCGTCGCCTGCACCCCTCGCGGCCGGCCAGATCGGCCGACCTCTCGGACGGCCAGACGGGCGCGCACTCCCAGCGAGAGAAGGATTTTCGTCGTGTGCCTTGTCGGCCAGTTCGCGCGTGCTCTCTGTGGTCGACGGGAACCGCCAACGGCCACCCAGCTACACTTGTTTCCGCTTCCGCAGGCCAATCCTGCGCGTCTACAGTGGAGGCCCGACCGCCAGAAACCTTCCACAAGAAACCCAGCCCTGAGACCCCAGGACGTCCATTGATTCTTGGTGTGGGAGCGTCACGCTGTCCACAGCAAAACCATCGAAACCCAAGAAACCCACGGCACCCTGCAGGCGAGCAGGGTGTTTCTTGGCATGGGCCCCCACTGTACCCGATACAATGCGAAGCAGCTCCTCCTCCTGCCCAGGAGGCCGCTGCTTTCGTCCAGCGCTGACCAGAACAGCGTGGTGGCCAATGTGCGAGGTCGGCTCGCTTCCAGACGGCGGCGCCTGCAGTCTCCGCGGCCAGCCAGACCTCAGACAAGTTCACATCTCTCAGCCGCCAGGCGTGCCTGTATTTCAGCCAGCCACGCTTGGCATTACGCTAGGCTGCCAAACTCGCACGTCTTTCAGACATGTATCTTTGCGTGTTTCTCAGCCATATAGTCAGGCGCGCCTGCCTGAGTCAGGGTTGCTTCCGCCGCGGAGGCGGCGAAGGACGAACCGAGGAAGCGGCGGCCTGGTCTTGTCGGCGGGGTGACCGCTGGGTTTGTTGGCGAGGCTCGAGGCTTGGGCCCGCGGCCGCGGCTGGCGCCCAGTTCAACGTCAGCGGTCGAGGCAAAGGGCGGCAACAAATCTTCGAACCGCCGTGGAGCCGGCCCCGTAAACCCTTCGGCACGCGCGGAACACGTAGCCCGTTAAACTGTTACCGCTAGTTTCCTGTTGCTTTGTAACCGAAACTGGAAGGTCACGATGACGGCGGCGTTAACGGGCGCGCTAACGAGTAACGCTCAAACAAATCTCAGCGGCGCAGATCACGGCCACGCAACGGGGCGACATTCACGGGCGCGCTAATGGCGGCGTTAACGGTCACGCGTCGGGCGGCGCGTCGTCACACCCGCGGGCAGCGTTGCGGCGCGCGCATCCAAAATCGGGGCCAGGCTCTGCCGCCGCGAAAAAAACAAATGCATTAGGCAAAGAAACCCTTGGCGAGGCAGTGCGCCAGCGAATGCCATTGTGACAGCACGTGAACCCTTAACCAACCAACTTCACAGCAATACGCGCATGTCTGATTCCCAGCCAATTACATGTGCCTGTTTCTTCGCACACCTGACCCAACTGCTGAGCATCCCGAGTGGCGCTGTTCTCAGCCCGGCAGACCTGCCTGTGACTCATCCAGCGCGGCATTCCTGCTTCTCCCATGGCCACGCGCACCCGCCTCTCAGCCAGCGAGACCTGCGCGATCATCTGCCAAACAGCCCTGCCAGCCGAGCAGCCAGCCAGGCTACTGCGCTTCCGCAGGCAAGTCAACCAGCCAGCCATGGCGGCCGTCAGCCGCCCAGGCCAGCGATACTCTCAGCCAGCCAGATTTGCTTCCCAACTCGCCAGCCATGCCCGCTCGCGCTCAATTTGGCTGGAGCTGCCTGCGCTCCAGCCAGCCGGCCAGACCGACTTGCACTTCACCCAGGCAAGCCCCAAACAGACCTGATTTTGAGCAGGGACCGACCGTCCCGGATTCCAATAGGCCTACCTACCACGAAACGATTTTAGAACCCCACAATGCTCTTGTAAGAGAAGCCACGTTCTTGTGACATAAGTCCGATGTGTTAAAACAGGACATTCTAAGAACATTTCGGGCAAGCCTCAAAAGGTTCTTAGAGCATTATTGGTGGGCCTATAGGGGAGCCAGGACGCTTCGCCACTGCTTGATGCTTGTCTTCCGGGCGATTGGGCCATACCTTTGCGCCCCCGGGGCAGCCAGGCCTGCGCGCCTCTCTGCCCGCCAGCCCTGTGTGGATCTCGGCAACCGTCCCCAACTCGGGCGCAAGCAACCTTCGAGCACGCAATCGCATCGCACACGCGGAAACTGTTTGCCGGGGTGAGCCCGAAAGCAAGGCCGCCTGGAGCCGAAGGAACAATTCTGCCAAAGCAGCGAGCACCGAACTCAACCTTTTGGCGGTGCGCACGAGGGGGTGGAGGGAGGGGGGAGGGCTTCTTAGAAGGAGGCTGCTTCTCAGAAGGCGCCGGCCTTATTATAAGGCCCGCGCCTTCTAAGAAAGAAGCCCTCCCCCCTCCCCCCTCTGCGCGTGGCTGAACCTTATAACATCGACGGCACCTCGGCCAGGGCCTCTGGGCGGCCCCGCTCGAGCCGAGTGAGGGCGCGCGAACGTTCCGTCCGCGGCAGGTGCATGGTGGATTTCGCCGCGGCCCTGGGAGCGGCCGCCCAGTGTTTCGAAATTCGATCGACTCTGTGGAGCAAGCTTCAAATCACACGAGGATGCCACATATTTTAAGGGGCCTCGGGGTATCCAGCAACGAAGAGCACGACCGACGAATGGTCGCAAAGGCGCGCTTCCCCTACTGCTCATCCCCCTCAGAACAAAACCCACGCCGCCTTCACCACTGACACGCTTCCTTCCATTCGCCCAACCGATGAGCTGATCCTGAATAGGCAGGACGCTCCCCAGACCTGGCCGTCACGTGTGAACCCCCTGGCGCAATTGCACAATCCGCCTGCCTCCTGATTTGAATCACGTTTCCACCATTATTTTGGGTCGGAGATATCATACTTAGGTCGGTCTTGGGATATGAGCGATACCTGCCAACCAAATATCCGACGTATGCCAAAGGGAGTTTTGGCCGGTCGGGATCTTAAGCGTGGCCGCGAGTTGTGCCAGCTAGGATTTGAATATCAGCAGCGCACGAAAACCAAACACCCCCTTGATCCCAGCATTGCAAATCATAAGAATCGTCCTGGTACGAGATTGTCTCCAAGACACCGCCGCCCTGTTCGAACAACAATTAGCCTGACGAAGGACCCAACCATATGCAGCTGCGAGTGCCGCATTGTGGGTACAGCTTTCAGTGGAGCTCCCTATGGGGCTGGGTGGGGGAGACGCATGCGAACGGTGCCATTAGGGCCTTCGGTGGACCTCCCTATGCCTATGAGGCCGCGAAACGCTGTCCTGGGTGGGGGAGACGCATGCGAACGGTGCCACTGGGGCCTTCGGCGGATCTCCCTATGGGCCATGAAGCGCTGTCATGGGTGGCTGTGACGCATGCGGACCCTGCCATTAAGGCCTTCGGTTGAGCTCCCTATGGGGCCACGAACCGTGTGAGGGGTGTGCCTACATGGGAGGCGTTGACGCATGCGGCCTGTGCCACTGCAGCATTCGGTGGAACTCCCGATGGGCCCACGAAACGCTGTCCTGGGTGGCGTTGACGCATGCGGCCTGTGTCAACGGAGCCTTCGGTGGAGCTCCCGATGGGGCCACGAAACGCTGTCCTGAGTGGCGTTGGTGCATGCGGACCCTGCCACTGGAGCCTTCGGTGGAGCTCCCGATGTGGCCACGAAACGCTGTCCTGGGTGGCGGTGACGCATGCTGCCTGTGTCACTGGAGCCTTCGGTGGAGCTCCCGATGGGGCCACGAAACGCTGTCCTGGGTGGCGGTGACGCATGTGGCCTGTGCCACTGGAGCCTTCGGTGGAGCTCCCGATGGGGCCACGAAACGCTGTCCTGGGTGGCGGTGACGCATGCGGCCTGTGCCACTGGAGCCTTCGGTGGAGCTCCCCATGGGCCACTAAACGCTGCCCGTGGTGGATGAAACGCAGGGCGGTGACGAGGCGGATGGGAGGAGGGAGGGAGGAGGGGGGCCACGAAACGCTGTCCTGGGTGGCGGTGACGCATGCGGCCTGTGCCACTGGAGCCTTCGGTGGAGCTCCCTATGGGGCCACGAAGCGCTGTCATGGGTGGCGGTGGCGCATGCGGCCTGTGCCACTGGAGATTTCGGTGGAGCTCTCTATGGGGCCACGAAGCGCTGTCCCTGATGGCGGTGACGCATGCGGCCTGTGCCACTGGAGCCTCCGGTGGAGCTCCCTCTGGGGCCACTATCATGGGTGGCGGTGACGCATGCGGCCTGTGCCACTGGAGCCTTCGGTGGAGCTC